TCAGGGCCCCTAGGTGGTGCAAGATTTCATCCATCAACAGCCTAAACCCTAAACCCCAAACCCTACACCCTAAACCCTAAACCCCTAAACCCTAAACCTTAAACCCTAAACCCTAAACCCCTAAAGCCAATGTTGAGCCCTCGGTGTCCACCCGACCTGGTTTGGCCGTTGTTGGCCAACTCTGCCCTCTCCGTGCAGTCCCCAGCCTAGGCAAAGTGGAAGCAATGGGTTTGGGGTTTTAGGGTTTAGGGTTTGGGGTTTATATTATAATTGGGCATATACTGGGCAATCTAGGGATAATGGAAAAGAAAATGGAAACTACTATAGTGTAATTGGGTAAATACTGGGCAACTTAAGGATAATGGGGACCTACTTGGAGGGTCATGGGGACTTAGTAAGTAGGTATAATAACCCCATTATTCCCATTATTAACCCACTTACTAGGTCCCCATGACGCTCCAAGTAGCGTGTAGGGGCTTTGGGGCTTCGGGATCCAGAGTCTGAGGCCTTCGGTAACCGGTCTGTACTGAAACACACACAACGGCCGCAACAAGGTCTTGCGTACGGTCAAAATTCCTCTTCAACCAAGCTAGCCTGCCAGGGACAGAATCTGCCAAGAAGTTCGCTCTTTGTAGTTCACGACTCCTCAAAGTTATAAATGACCATCTATAATCCTATAGAATTCCCATATCCCATATGATCCCCATAAAATCCCGATAGGCTCCTCCAACCAGGGGTTTTCCTGGGTGCCCTTAGGTTGCCCCAGTCTCAGCGTCGGGCCAAGCTGACCAAAATCGTTGTAGCCCCATGTGTAGAGCTGACAGGAGGCAAAGTCCCCCTCAAGTAGCTAGAATATGGCTTTGGGTGTGTTATAAAAAGATCCCCATATACCCCATATTCTATCTACCGAAGGGGGAGTATACATTAGGAACGCTCACTTCCGATTCCTTGCTTCCGGCATGTTCTGACAGCCTAGTGGAGGGGAAGGGCCTTGCCCTCTTTCGTGAGCGCGCCCATGTGCTGGTCGCCAGCGGAAACACGGACGATCTTCAACCCCTGTACAGAGACATCGGTATGCGCAGCGCTGTGTTGGTTCTGTTCAAAAGTCTGCCTTGAGGCCCATCTCGCCTTTTGCTTCGTAGCCGTTGCACCTATACTCCAGAGCAAAATGAAAAACTCTCGAATATACATATCAATGCCTACATACCCATCGCGCGGTTGAAGGCTATGATTATAGGTATTTGTCAGGTCGAAGTTAGGTGGACCCCCCACCCAGTAATAGTGACTATAGGGGATAATAGGGATTATATCAGGGTCCTCTTATATTCCTCTTCCACTCTTACAGGGTGGGGGGTCCTCCTTAGGTCGAAGTATCCCCTTAGCATCTGAGGCCATGGCCATGTTTCTGTGAACAGCCTGGGGAAGTTGGATGCCTGGAACACCCGGGCTTCCAAAGATTAGAGCTATAGTCCCCCTTAAGTAGATAGAATATGGGGTATATGGGGACCTTACTATAACATACCCAAAGCCATATTCTATCTACTCAAGGGGGACTATAACCTTTCGAGACTCTTTTTTTTAAGAAGGAAAAAGGGCATACCCCAAGTAGTTTCCATTTTATTTTCCATTATCCCAATGTAACTCAAATATAATCCAATATTACCGCAAAGGGTACCTATATCCCCTATCAATGGGGAGCCCTACTTTGTGAAATCCACGTTTGTGCTTCACTGGAAGAGTGCTTGCTGTACTTCTGCCATCGACATCACAGTGTGCCTGATTGCAAGCAGCAGACATTTGAAGATTCCAGAAAAACGGTGAGGTCTTCAAAAAAGCTGTTTTCTGGAGACCCAACACAGTATAGAGAGCGTGGGATCAGAACGCGATTATCTGGGATACTTGTAAGGATTCAGTGGCGTACTGCTCAGCAGACCCCACATTTTTGCAGTGACTACCTTCATTGCCACCTCATGCCACCTCATGGGAGTCACGTATAAGAGAACTGATGCACGCACTGTTTCTCACCTATCCCACACACTATGCCATCCGAACCCCTGCAGCATGAAAGTAAAAGCCGTTGGTAGAGGTCCTCAAGTCACAAACCCAAAAATGGTTCGACTCTGCGACCCAAGCACATTAGCTATAGTCTAAACTCCTAGTATCCTCCTTAATAAGCCCTACAATACCCTAAACCCTAAACCCTAATATAACCCCCCTTAACGGGGCTCGGCTTCCTCAACCCAGCTTGAACCACCATCCCTGCTTGGGGGTCCCCATATGGTGGATTCCCAGAATCATGGTGCCATTTTGGGAATCCCAATAACAAGGCTTGCAGTATGTTGGGGTCCATATTGGGGTCCCCTTATTTAGGGAAACCATCATATTAAGGACAATCTTAGGTTATGTTGGGGTTCTATTGGGATAATGGAAACTAAAATGGAAACCACTATTTAGGGTTCAGGGCTTGGTGCACTTGACCTCAAACCTAAGCTCAAACTCCATGATTCTTAAACCCTACTTGGAGGGTCATGGGGACCTAGTAAGTGGGTTAAGAATGGGGATAATTGGGGTTATTAAATGGCTTCTAGCAGTTATTAACCTACTTACTAAGTCCCCATTAATCCCGCAAACCCAATCCTGTAAACCTGAAACCTAATCCACTAATGCCAAAATCCCTAAACCCAGCTCCTAAACCCCAGCCCCACACTCCAAGAACTGAAAGCAACCTCCCCAGAACCCCAAAGGGATCTAAAAATTAGATCCCCTGGAACCATATGGGAAATCATATAAGGATTATATAGGGGTTATATAGGGGTTATAATGGGTCTATATAGGGGATCTAATTTTTAGATCCTCCCAGGGGTCTGGGTCTTCTCAACCGCCGCCAGGCCTGAAACCGGCCCCAACTCCACACTTCACCGCGCTTGGTGACTCCGATGGTGTAATTACCTACCAAGACTTGGGTGTTTCCCAAAATTAGGGGTACCATTTTGGGGGTCTATATTGGGGTTCCCTGATTTAGGGAAAGTAATTACCTAGCAAGACTTGAGTAGCGTTTTGTTGGTGGTTAAACCGTTAAACCTAGTAGCTACTATATTATAATAGGGTATATATTGGGGTTATATTAGGGTTATATTGAGTAGCGTTTTTTGGTGGTTAAACCGTTAAACCTAGTAAGATCATATTCCTTATATAAAATACTATACCCCAAGAGGAGGATAGAATCTTATTCTATATTGGGTACCATAGTATCCCCAAATAAAATACTACTCACTTGGGGCTGAGTGTTGAGGGCTTATAGTTTAGGAGCCCGCTTCGCACGAGAGCTCCAGGTACCATGCTTGGAAGCGTCACTGTTCAGAATTTGGGGCTTTGGGTTTAGGGCTTACGATGTAGGCTTTGTGTTGCATGGATGCCAGCTTCGGCGCACCATATCTACCGTTCCCACAAACTATCCACTCGGAATGTCGCTTTTCTGCTTGAAAGAAACTTCCAAACTACTTGGGGGGTCAGGGGGACTTAGTAAGTAGGTGAATAATGGGGATAAATGGGCTTAATATATGGATTATAGGGGTTATTAAAGTCTCCCTGACCCCTTGACCCGAAAACCCCAATTATAATATAGTAGTTTCCATTTTCTTTTCCATTATCCCTAAATTGCCCAGTATTTGTCCAGTTAGAATATAGTAGTTTCCATTTTCTTTTCCATTATCCCTAGATAACCCCAATATAACCCTAATACCACACAAAATGAGCATTGAAAAAGTTTCTGGCCTCCAGCAGCCACCTGCGAGATATACGTCTCGTACGGAAGCTCCGTGTACCTCTCAGTAGCACGGGAAGTCCGTCGTCTTGCGGAGCAGACCAGACTCAACATGTTCAGAATATCAAGACTATAGAGTATATTGGGGTTATATAAGGATAATGGAAAAGATAATGGAAGCTACTATAATGGAGAATCAAATGGAAAAGAAAATGCAAAATTAAATGGAAACTATGCTTATTTTGTGTTGTATTCCGGTTATATTGGGGTTATATAGGGATAATGGAAAAGAAAATGGAAACTACTTATAGTACCCTCAGGGTCCAAGGACTCATAGTGTGGTATTTGGGCCCTAAAACCCTAAACCCTAAACCATTTGGGTCCTTGGACCCTTAGGGGTTCAGAATCTCAAGAAGTGTCGCACGATGGCAGCGCTCTGTTTTCCTGGAATTGCACTGGCCAAGCCACAACTGGCCGGACCAAACGTGTTGGCATGGAAAAGCTCTAATCCTCGTCGCCCGTACCGAGCTGTCCAAAGTCATTCTTGCCCCAAGCCTCGGCTGTCCAAAAAGCCACGTGCATCGCGTTGCTTCCATGCTTTCAGAGGACCAGGGCGCCGGCGAAGATGCGACCGCCTTCTGTAAGAGCAACCGCATGCTCTTTCCCAACGCTGATCTTGGCACAGGGTTGAAGCTGAAGATATGCCAGTTTCTCAGAATGACCCCAGTATTATCTTTAAGAGAGATGCCAGAACTGTGATTCCATACATCCCTGCAGACCTCATGGGCCCTCAAACCTACATTCCCAAAACTCATTCATCGCTTGACCCTACACCCTGCAACGCCTTCACATGAACCATGATTTTGAGAAACCCTTACATGTGGAAAGTTCGGAAGTTGCCCTACCCTCCCGGAAACTAACATGGAAACCCAAAAAGGGCCCTATAAAGACTACCGTCCTTTTAAAGGGGGGCTATATGGGTTTCCATGTTAGTTTGGGGGAGTGTAGAGAGGGCAGCACCTGGCTGACACGCTTCCGCTGCAGCGTCAAGACTGGTGAGGGCGTGTCTCCTGCATGGGCATATGACACGTTTTAGTAGTAGTCCCCTATATTTTCCTTTATATGGGGGTTTCCCAAAATTAGGGGTACCCTTTTGGGGGTCCCCATAATAAGGATTATACTATTTTGGGGTCTATATTGGGGTCCCCTTATTTTGGGAAACTACCATATAACCCCCCTTTACGGAGTTTAGACAATAGCTCACATGGTAGCACCTTTCGGATCACTCCAAGAGTTGGCTCCCCAGAAGTACACCACATTCTCCTTGGCTTGAGCACACGAATCAAGGCCGGTGGAGTGAATTTTGGTGGAAGGCTCAATGCACCACTCGGGGCGACCTTTTTCAACTTGCATTCTCGTCTTCAAAGGCGCTTTACGTCATCATCCTGCACCGTTCGTGGTATCGTAGCAGAGGCTACCACTATGATGCTTGTTGCCAGCGATTGCTAATGAATTTCTAATGATGTTCTTGAACTTTTTTCGATCTCATTGGCCCGCATCGCCACCATCATCACCATCACCAACATCATCACTTTCAACGCCACCGTCACTATCACCGTCATGATCATGATTGTCGACACCATCAACATCATCATCATCATCATCATCATAATTCCTGCGTTCCTTCCTTCATTCGTCCGTTCATTAATTAATTGATGAATTAATTCATTCATTCATGCATGCATGCATGCATGCATTCATGCATTCATTCATTCATTCATTCGCTCATTCATTCGTTCATTCGTTCATTCGTTCGTTCGTTCCTTCCTTCATTCATCCGTTCATTATTTCATTCATACATTCATTCATTCACTCACTCACTCATTCACTCATTCATTCATTCATTCATTCATTCATTCATTCATTCATTCATTCATTCATTCATGCATTCCTTCCTTCATTCACTCACTCACGCACTCATTCATTCATGCATGCATTCATGCATTCATCATCATCATCATCATCATCATCATCATTCTTGACTGTATACTGCGATTTATCACTGCAATTCAGTGTCTGTACTTTTGCTTCTGTTTTGAAATCCAAGTGCCCGACTGGCGGCTTGCCTGGTGGAGACCTGTCGAAATCAAGATTGCAGATGGTAGTCCACAGCAGACCAGCTGAGCTGCGGGCCCGTCCACTACGTAGATCAGACCACCGTAGCCAACATATCCGGCAATTGAATCCTCTTTGAGCAGTCTCCCAGCCCAGCGGTTCATCAAGTGTCCCAAGGGAATGGATGCCCTCAAACAACCTTTCGAAGCATCTCACCACACTAGTGAACCCTGATCGCATAATGCAAGTAGAGTGCACCGGGCTCAGGCACCGTACTGTAGATTCATGTTGAGTTCAGTTGCCATAGGGGGTGAGGAATCACTTTGGAACACCGACTGGCATCATTTTGGAACATTAATTAGCGTCATTTCGGAACACAAATACCAGAAAGGGATGATTTTGGAACACAAGAGATTTCAATTTATGATTGCCCCATGAATCCAAGCTCATTAGTCTAGTTTCAACATCGCAACAATTCCAAGCTTCGCCCCACTAGTCCAACCAACGCTCCCAGTAGTCCAAGCTACGGCCCACTAGTCCAAGCTACGCCCCATTCGTTCGAGGGCGTGAGGAATAGTCCAAGCTTCGCCCCATTAGTCCAAGGATCGCGCCCCTTTAGTCCAAGCATGTGAGGAGTTCTGATTGAATTTTATCATCGCCCCATTACTCCAAGCTTCACCCAAACAGTCCAACGATCGTTCCAACATGCAGGCGCCAGATGTCCTAAACCCTAAACCCTAAACCCCTAGACCCTAAACCCTAACCCCTAAACCGTAAACCCCTAAACCTAAACCCCTAAACCCTAAACCCTAAACCTTAAACCCTAAACCCCTTAGTTTGAATCCTACCATCCCTTTGGGACCTCCACTCCACTTACCTACATTGGGATGGAAACCCTGGAAATCATGCAAACTCCTAGAAACCGCGGAAACCTGGGGTCATTCCCCCTTACATTAACTGTTACCACAATGGGTTACAGGAGCTATAAGAACCTCCTTAATAAGGCTCCTTTAAGGACAGTTACTGGGAGGGGGAATGACCCAAGGGAAACCATAGAAAGCATGCAAACCCATAGAAACCACAGGAAGAATAAAGCCATGGAAACCACGGAAAACGTAGAAACCATCAACACAAGACCATGGGAGCCATAGAAACCATACAGCCTATGAAAGCCAAACCATGGAAACCAGGGAAGCCATAGAAACCATAGAAACCATGGAAACCATAGGAACTATATAGCCCATAGAAACCATGGAAAGCATGGAAAATGTAGAACCAAAGTGACCATGCAAACCATAGAAACCCTGGAAACCATAGTGACCATACAAACTGTTGAAACCATGCAAACTATGGTTACCGTGCAAACCATAGAAACCATCGAAACCGGGCAAACCCTGGAAGCCATGTGGACAGCCACTGATCCCCGTTGAAAATTGATCCCCTTGTCCACGTTTTGAAAATGACACCAATTCGCAGTCCAAATTGACCTCATTCGCTACCACAGGCCGCCCTCCTCGTCCGGAATGGCGATCCCAGTCTCACTTCTCAGATGCACGCTGTGGATTGACCTCGGAGGCTTGCTAGGGGCCTGCATCAACTTCTGGCGACCATTCCAAGAGCGGAACAGCATGTCTCTGATTCTGTTGTAAAAGTTCACAAACATCTTCTTGATGGCAACTGCAGGTCCATCCTGTCAGCAGCTCCCCCTAAACACCCACCAATATCTTCAGCCACTCCCGGTCTGCCTCGAAGCCGCCATGCTTCGGCAGTCTGGATTTGATCCAGGCAGGAGGGCCTTTTCGGCCTTGTACTCCGGACAAACCTATACCCTTCTTATAGAAAATGGAGCAAGCAAAACATCATGACCTGGTTTCAAGCTGCAGCCTGCCTTCGTATTTCATGTAGATCTTGAAGCGCTTCTCCTACTAGTAAGAAGGTTGGTGAACCGGACATGTCTCTGCAGTCAGTCACCCAGACCCCCTAAAGGATCTCCAATATGAACCCATTACTACATTGGGGAAACTAGGGGATTATTAGGGGGTTCCATTTTTTGGATCCTTTAGCCCTTAAAACCTAATCCCTAAACCCTAAACCCTAAACCCTAATCCCTAAACCCTAAACCCTTCCTTTAGGGAGGGTTCCATTTTTTGGATCCTTTAGGAGGTCTGGGCAAGCACGCATCCTTATGTGGCTGGATGAACTTGGGCTTGTGATCTTCTCTTCGATCTTCTGCTTGCTCCCGGAGCTTCCTGCGGATTACATGCTCGAGACTTGAGGGTTTAGGGTTTAGGGTCTAGGGTTTAGGGCTTAGGGTTTAGGATTTAGGGTTTAGGGTTTAGGGTTTAGGGCCAAGCTGGCTTCTGGATAAGCCAGGCAGTCCTGTCTGACGACCGCTGCTCGACAACACTTCTGTAAGTGTCGGCAGTCACGCCCTGTCGGCAGGGCTGGTTTTGCTCCCGCCGCTAACTCACTTCTGCTTCTGCGGCAAGTGGACATTTCCATTAAAACAGGGTCCTCCTTCTCGTGTGGTTTCCCAGAGAGTATAGTTTTACTCTGATGACACTCAGAAGCGAATGAAAAAAATGAGTGCTGGAAACCCAGATCGCAGCGCTGCCGCCTCAATCTCGGCAATTTCCTCCTTGTCTTCCCCATGCAGGGGCGGCGCCTGGCGATCTGAATAGGCGCGAGAGCCACATCGTTAAGTGGTTCAGGGTTTGGGGTTTAAGATGCGGGGTAGGGCTCACCACATCCTTTTTCGGTGGTTAGTAGGGAAAGATGGCGGGTGTGGTGGAAGGATTGCGGAGAAGGTTGGGGTCTGGGACTGATACAGGGTATTGTTTGGGGTTCCTCGGTTACCTACCCTAGACCCCAAGCCCTAAACCCAAAAAGAGAGTTGAAGTTTCCATTTTCCATGTCCTACAACTCGCCAACAACATCCTGCTACTTCCGCGCTTCAATGCTTGATCTCCTGCCTGGTGCTTAATCAGGCGTGGCAAAACTATGGCACCGACCATATGATTCAGGGTTGAGAGTATACGGTTTCAGGTGCTAGGTAGGGAACGGCGGAATATGAGATACAAGGACTTCTTTCCAGATCTTTTCCTTCGTTCCCTACGAAGCACCAGGTAGTCTTTGACATGCCATGCAGACGTCTGCAGCAGCCATGCCCTGCGCTGGACCTTGCGTGAACAAACATATCTGGGCGCAGAAGATCAGATGCTTGGGACTAAGACGCGGACGGACAAAAGCTCCCCCTACTTGCTGAAGCTGTCTTGAACGGCAAATGCTGGCCAGAAATATTCTTAGTGGTGGTGAGTAGGGAGTGCTGTAAGAATAGATCTGTGTGATAGTCTCTGTAAAACCTCTGTAATAAATTTCATGCCCCATATTCCTGATCCACTAGTGACCACGGGTAAGTATTCTTAGGCCTGGACCAAAGCCAACTTTATCTTACAAGGGTAGAAAGAATTTAGACAAGCCATTGTTAGGAGTTGAAGAAAGGAATCTTTGAAAAAGATGATACAAAAGGGCTAATGCAACAAGGCTCTAGAAGAATTATCGGCCCTCACACGCCCGCTGTGCTCTGTGGTTTGGGGAGAGCTGGGGCTGGGTTGGCGGATACCACGAGGCATGACTCCCCTTAAACTGAGCAGTAGACTGCCCTATAGACAGTGATCAGTAAAGAAGCTAGCAGCTAGCAGATCTCCTGAGGCCGGCCAGGCTCTAATCCAGGTACATCCCAGAATCCTGGGCTCCTTGTAGAATCTTTTCCCTTTCTTATAAACTCAAAGGCTTAGGCTTTAGGATCTAGGGCTAAGGACTGCCCAGAATTCAAGGCCCCTTATTGGTGTGTCCTCTGTTGAAGAGAGGAGGTTTCTATGAGCGACCCTTTGACTTCTGCATTATGTCCGGTGCTAAAGCTTAAGGGTGTGAGGGTGTTAAGAATTAGGCTCTAGGACTAGCTAGCTGTGCGGTACAGAGGGGACCGTATCTCGAAAATCATCACTCTCTTTTGGTGCCTGGTCTGTCTGTCGGGTCGACAGGCAGTCTGCGCTTACGTCGGTGGCCTTGCTGAGATAAGGGCAGGGTGCTCTCACCCCGTTGAAAAAACTAACCCCCAAGAGTGTAAGACTCCAGTCCTGGCCCAGCTGGTCATCAACATCCTAGAGCTTCTTCCAACATGCCAACCCTAAACCCTAAACCCGACTGGTTTAAAAATGTGGGGACCTTGTCTCAGGCGCTACAGCACTTGAAATTCGACAGGCCTGAGCAGCATTTCCACAACTGTGGCCGAAAGCCTACGCAGTTAAGGGTTTAGGGTTTAGGGTTGGCCTCAATGCAGAACTGCCACTCTCCAGGCAATAAAGTAGACAGAGCCCGCAGGCACGGCCTCTGGGCATCTGACTAGGCTGCCTGCTTCATGCAGGGCCTTATCTGCAACGCTCTCAAGAGCTATTGCATGTGGTAGGTAACATCCCGGCTTCGCTCGAAAATTCCTACACAGCTGCAAGTCATGCTGGGGATATAGTCAGTATGCAGTATGTATATCCAGGAGTTGAACCCGTGCCACAAAGGAGCACATTGCATCACAGTGCTGCTCGACGAGTGCTCCACTTCCATCCGGGAAAAACCTCTTCACCCATCGGCAGAGTTTTTTGACATGATCCTACATCTCCCTCAAGGTGGGCCCTGAAATCTCTGTGTCATCCCCCCGATTTTGAAGGAATACCCACTTGAGTAGTGCTTTTTTGGTGGTTGAACCTAGTAAGATTATATTCCTTATATAAAATACTATACCCCAAAAGGATGATATAATCTTACTCTATACTGGGTACCATAGTATCCCCAAATGAAATACCACTCACTTGTGAGGCTACAATGCAGCTTTGCCTTGAGGGGGTCATGCGAGATCTGCCCCCTGCACACAGGAGCCAGAGGCTTGCTAAAAGGGGGTCTACTCTGTCAAAGCTCTCCCATGAGGTGCCATGTGCTAGCTATAGTCTAAACTCCTAGCATCCCCCTTAATATCCCCTATAGTACTCCCCTATTTAATCCCCTATAGATCCCCCTTTCAGGAACTTAGACTATAGCTCATATCTTGATAGTATCCCCTTTAACTAATATTCCTCATAGTAATCCCCTATAATCCCCCATATAATCCCCTATATATCCCCCTTTAAGGAACTTAGACTATAGCTCATATCCAGATAGTATCCCCCCTAATATTCCTTATAGTAATCCCCTATAATCCCCTATATATCCCCCTTTAAGGAGTTTAGACTTTAGTTCATATCTAGATAGTATCCTCCTTAATATTCCTTATAGTACTCCCCTATAATCCCCTATATAGTCCCCTATACATTCCCCTTTAAGGAATTATAGTTCATATCTTGATAGTATCCCCCTTAATATTCCTTATAGTAATCCCCTATAATCCCCCATATAATCCCCTATATATATCCCCATTTAAGGAACTTAGACTATAGCTCA